AAATTGCTCCATGAATTCTGGGAAATGTCGTTTTAAATTTTTATCTGAATTTTCCCGGAATTTGCGATCTGGATTAATACTATCTTCAAATTTTAATATTATCTTATCTTCAAATTTTTTCAAATAACCTAAAATGTTTTCCCGGGAGAACATTTCTTCCGGTGTGACGGAGTGAGTGAAATATGAAACGCATTTCTTCTCGCCAAATCTAATTTTACCTCAATCCGACAATACCCACTTCTTGTCAAGGTTAGAAAAAAATTTCTCATCTCTCTCTTCTGTTTCCCTCTTTTTTCCGTCCATGTTTACTTCCGAGACAAAGCTGCAACTCAAGAAATTTGGAATTATATTTTATCTATTCGAATTTGGAATTTTCTCAAGAATTCTGGAAAATTTCTCAGCAACCAAAACATATCATCTTGTATTTTGGGTTTGTTCTACGACCTCATACACTGAGTAATGTAGAGCTCAACATCAATGCCCTAATTGATTTATGTAAATCACTTTTTTGAGGTTCTGGAGAAAAGAAAAAAACAAAACATCACTCTTGTTTTGTTGTCATGTTGTTTTCTGTAGAATTCATAATCTAATTTCCTTACTTTTTTGGTAGTGTTATGATTGGATTTGCTTCTTTGTTACTTTTAATTTCAACAGGTTTATGTTATCTTAATTACACGTAACGATTGCTCAATAACCTTTTGCTTTATTTTCACATTTTTTTGGTGCTAAGATTGTTGGGTCCATTTCCAGGACCATGGAAGACGCTTTCAAAAGCACAAGTCTCTAAGGCGGATCCTTCTGAATTTAACTCTTGTCGCTGTGACGCTTTAAGTGTATAGACAAGGTAAAGCATTTTCTTTTAAGGTAACATATCATATAGACATATCTGTGCGCATATACGCGATGATTTGACCGCTTGATGTTGCCGTTTGTAGTTGGGAGGAGGCAATGGCAAGTTTGTTAACACAAGAAATGTCAATGCAAAATGAATCTAAAAGGAGATCACCGAGCATTATAGCGAGATTGATGGGTCTTGATGGGATGCCCCCTCAGAGTTGTACTCACAGTCACAGAGAACCCAAATCTGTGGAGAATCAAAAATGGAGGCCGATAGCATCTGCGAAAGCTCGTGGGAAAAAAACATATAATGGTCATGAATCTCTAAGGAGGGGAGGCTCAATGGATGAGCAGAGATTCAAAGATGTCTTTGAAGTTTCGGATGCAGAGAAGGAGAAGATTAGTATGAGTTTGTATCAAAGGAAGGTGAATGCTAATCTAACTGAGGCAGAGATGGCGTTTATAAGGCAGAAGTTCATGGAGGCTAAGCGTCTATCGACTGATGAGAAACTCCGCTACTCTAAGGAGTTCAATGAGACTCTTGAGGCTCTAGACTCCAACAAGGACCTCTTATTGAAGTTTCTTCATCACCCAGATTCATTATTCACAAAACATTTGCCTGAGCCTGATAGTCAAAGCTTAGAGTACAGAGAGTTGTTAGGGAAGAGTCACAGATCACCTCAATGGCATGGTGGTGTTGCTAATTCCAGCCATTCTAATACTAGGTGTGTTTCGTGCGACGATACAGTTCACCTATCAAAGAAGCAGCTGAACAAAAGAAGTGGTTTGAAACCGACCGAGATTGTTGTTCTGAAACCTAATCTTGGGAAGCCACCGAGAACTGATAGAACTCTTCCATCACAGAGCTCTTCTTGTGATGATGTCAGGGCAGATCACAGGCTTTTGAAAGCTAATGAAGATGTTAGTCTTGTAAGACAAAAGTCAAGAGATTCAAGAGCAATTGCCAGAATAGTATCTAGACAAATGAAGGCAAATGATAGTTCCATAAACTTTGAAATTTCAAGGTTTAGAGGTTATGCAGGGGATGAAAGCTCATCTTGGAGTGATTCTCCAAGTGAATCAAAGTTAATGTCAATGATTTCAAGAGCAAGAACTGACTTTAACCGCAAGAACCACCATCGATCTCTGCCTTCCTGGTCATCGGAATCATCTGTGAGTAAGGAGACCATGAGGAGACTGTCAGAGAGGTGGAAACTGGCTCACCAGTCTGAGCAAGAGATAGAAAGTAGTAGACGCAACACATTGGCTGAAATGCTTGCAACTTCAGATAGAGATGCGAGACCGGTGAGTTTTAGTGGGATCAGTAAAAGATTTGAGAGCAATGTTGTGGAGCCTGAGTTGCCAGATGCCATTGGAATTAGCAGTAGAGATGGTTGGAAAGGTACTGGTAAAAGAAATCTTTCAAAACCCGGAACAAGCATGCCTCAGGACAGAACTTGTGGTTACACCATTGTGATCCCTAAGAAGCTGACCATGCGAGATGGATCAGTGAAGGAGAGTTCTTTTCACCACATGGAATATCTCTTATCTAACAATTCATTGCCTATTAATCGTCATTTTTCATACAATAGTTCGTCAGAGATCAACAGACCGAGTTCAAGCAAAATTCTTTGTATGGATGATGAGTTATCCAAAGAGAAGCATCCTGATTTAAAACCACGGAGCAGCGTATCAGTTCATGCAGATTCAGACAATGAAAATGGTTCAGACTCTGAGGATGCCAAGACTACCCTGTCCTTGGAACGACCTGGTTTATCAGCATTTGCCTCATTAACTAGCCTTGTAAGTGAGAATAATGTTTCAACATCATGACTTAGTGTTCTAGAGCGTATTCTATCGGCTGTCGTACTGACAGATGTGCTAATCTTTTGATGATGCTCCAGGATATCTCGGGCAGGCCAACCGAAGAACTCGATCATTCTTCTATCCCCCAAGTACAGCCTGAGGAAAGTGACGAGGAAGGAGACCAACCAAGTCCAGTTTCAATCCTACAAACTTCTTTTCATGATGAGTTTTCATCCAGTTCCAACTGCTTTGAGAGTCTTAGCGCGGATCTCCAAGGTATCTTATTGGTGGTTCCTTGATTCTTCCATAGGTTAAGTTAATATTTTCCTCTTTGAATTTTTACATTTTCAATCATCAAATGTTTTAAGATTCTCTCTACATTTCCAGGGCTCAGAATGCAACTTCAGCTACTCAAAAGTGAGTCAACTACTACTTATAACGAGGAAGCGATGCTCGTTTCAAGCGATGAAGATGCAGATCAAGAGGAATCATCCATAGTAACAGATGAGACGTTGATCACCCAAGAGCCAAGAAAAGACTGGAAGTCACTATACTTAGCTGATGTCTTAGCAAACTCCAGGTTCAGTGACTTGAATCCGAAAAGCTTTATGACGACATGGCACTCTTCTGAATCACCTGTTGATCCATCCTTGTTTAAGGATCTTGAGAAGAAGTATTCCGGTCTGAAAATGTCAACTCGGTTAGAAAGGAAGTTTCTTTTTGATAGGATCAACAGTGGCATTCTCGAGTTCTTCGAGCAGTTCACGGATCTGAAACCCACAAAGGTCTACCCAAAATGGGATATAAACTTGGTACAAGAGACTCTGCGCGAGCTCGTCAGTATAAAATACATGAAACCAAGTAGAGATACAAAGGAGGAGTTGCAGCAGCCGAACTTGGAAGATGACATTGAAGTGATAGGTAAGGAGATTGAAGAAATGTTAACAGATGAACTCATAGTAGAGCTAGTGATAGGAGAATTCTCGTAGAGAAGTCTTTGTTTGTTCTAGAAAGTTTCATAATATCTATCAATTATACTTAAAACATTTGTGAAAAATTCAAAAATGTAATGACATGTTTAAGCATTATAAGAGGTAAGTAGATAAAGAAGAAGTATAGTCTCATGACGAAGCCTACAAAATTAGCACTTGACATATCTTGTTTTAAGCTCTAGACAATATATTTGTTAAAATCTATGTGTTTTTACGTTAATTATATCTGATTAATCAATATATTTGTTAGGGTTAATATTAGTAAATATATTTTTCGGATTTATACTTAATAATCAAGTTTTTTTTTTTTTTTGAACAAGGGGCATACTATTTTGCTTCGGTAGATAACAGAAATGCTGAAATGTTTTAACAATTGAAAAAAATGTTTTAAGGCTCTCTTTACATTTCCCTGGCTCATAATGCAACTTCAGCTACTCATAATGAAACCTACCAAAGTGGGCTCTAATGGAAAATAGATGCAGTAAAGTTTGAAACTTAACCATTGATTTTACAACCAGAGAGTGAGAGACAAGACAGTAAAAAAAAAAAAGACTAGACAGTTTAGTAAAAGTAAACTTAAGGATTATTAGTTTCCAAATTTTGCTTTGGGATTGTTGGAGTTGTCCAGAATTGGGCATTTTTAACCTTTGAGATGCTATCCAATATCTCTAAGGGTGTAAGATCTCCAGTCACAGTCACTTTCTTTGCAGCAAAGTCTATGTTGAAGGATGTCACACCTACAAAGAAATCAAATTCATTAATTATTATCTAGAAATGATGGACCAAATAACCAAATCAAAGTAAGCCTAAATCGAATAATTAAAAATTTTAAACCGTAACAAATTGAAAGTAAACCGATATATATGAACCGAAGAAAGTAGCAATCAAGTAAATAAAGGATCACCTTGCATTCTGGACAGATGTTTCCTAACTTTTCCTTCACAGCCTCTACAGTGAAGAGACACTTTGAGAACAACGACTTGCTGCTCCACAAAAATGCAAAACTCTAATCACTACCCATTAATCGCCATTTATTAACACTTTTGCCCTTCATTTCAACAACCAAACAACTTACCTGGTTTGGTTCTGA